AATTATCTTCAGAATTTTGGTCATTGGGTTGTTTAAGCTAAATGCTCAACTATTCATTTTTTTAAACAACCATTTTCCTTTGGACCAAAACAAAACAAAAAAAAAAATAGTACCATAAGTATTTACGATATGGGCACATGGTGCAATTTTGAGAAAAGTGCATTGGTTATAATTTTTATGCATATATACAAAATTATTATAAATTGCAGAAAATCATATACGTAAATAAATCTCAAGCTAATATTAAAAAGCGTGTTGACATGATAGTTGCTAGGAAAACAAAGCGTGAGTACTAGCATCTTGGGAGCAAAATGGTTAGGAGCCAAATGGTTGGCAAGCATCTTGGGAAAGTGTTTGTTAGGGTATGTCACATTAGGAATTTTTCTTACAATGTCATTCTCTATGAAAAAAAAACATAAATTACTAACAAAACATCGTATTGTTTCAGCATTAAGACTATGTGATCAAGTTTAATGGGTATTCAATCTCTCATTGGTAAAACAATTATCAAATTTGAGTTGTATTGGTTAACCCATTATTACAACTTACAAAGTAAGCATGTTGAGTATTTATTAGGTTAATCTTTATGGTGTGAAATGGTAACTCTATGGATCTTGTGCATGGTTAATTATAGCATTGTACTTTAGTGTTATTTTACTTCAAAGAATTTTTGTAATTTGACAGAGCTACCCCATTATCGCAATAAAAATTACTGTATTTTGGATGGTGTTTCTACATTGGATAAATTTTTAAAATACAATGTTGTAATATGACGAAATAAAAGTGGAATGTTGTAATAAAAAAGGCAAGAAATATATAGCAACGGTCTATCATTTATTTATACGTTGCACCATCCTAATTTTGTTTTTTTGTTTTTCATATTTAAACATTGTACTTTTAGGGGCTTTCTTATTTAGGCATTATTTGTTATAATATCCTAATTGCAAGAAGTAGTATCATACTTTTGATTTGAAAAGTACAACGTATAGTAATCATTAAAAAAAAAGCAAAATGCTATAACAAAAAAAATAGCAACATACTTCCTTTTAATTGTTTACTATAACATCGTACTTAAATTTTATTTTTCTTTTTCCGGATAACACAAATAGAAATTACTTTTTTTAAATTTTTATTACAACATCTTACAAATCACCAACCATGGTTTCCACGGGTTATAACCTAGTATATATATATATATATATATATATATATATATATATATATATATATATATCATTAAGTCTAGTCTATGTACTATACACTAATGTTATCATTTAGTCTAGTCTATGTAGTATACACCAATTTTACACTCCACCATCATCCATCATCTCTCATGTTTTCAGCATAAAGAAAGAGAAAGAGAGTAAAAGCCAAAGAGGGTTAAAGAGAGAGAAATGAGAGGGGAAAAAATACATGTTTACCATTGTGGAGAGGAGATCGAAGAGGTCAAGAGGGTATCGGAAGAAGAGCATTCACTATTTTTCCGGCACCATCACACGACGGAGAAAAGAGATCGAAGCGGAGAAGCCACGTCCGGCGACGAAGAAGCACCGGTCCGACGATCGGCGAGAGAGACCGGTGTTGGAGATGCAGTTGGGCGGTGGGCGACGGTGTTATTCCGGTGAGATTTTGACGTTTCCGGCGTCGAAATTTCTTGGTCTTTATTGTTTTCTTAAACTCAAATCTTTGAGTTAAGAATTTTATATCTCTGATTCGATTTTTTTTCTTTTGTTTTATAGAGTTTAAGAGATTGTTTATTAGCTTAATTAGTTTCCTAATATCATATGGTTTCTTTTGATTTTATCAAGATTCTTTTGATTTAATCAGTGATTTTCGGAATAATTTTACGGGTTAATAACAAAATTTTGTAACTTACGTTACATAATCTCATAAGGGGCCAAATGAGCAAATAGCAAAATATAATGATTATTGGACTCATTTTATAAAAAAACTATATATATTTCAGGTATTAGGAGGCTGAAAACCGAGGAGGCCATGGCCCCTTCTAGCCCCTATAAGCGTCTGCCACTGTAGTCTATCATGAAGAGAGAGGATCAAATAGTAGCGTGAAACATGTGTATTGCTTGCCCCAAACAATTTGTGGGAGTTAGGCATGGAAATTTGACCCGACCCATTGGGAAACCCGGTTGACCCGCCCCGATCGGGGATGGGTATTCCCCGCAAAACTGAGTAACGGGCATGGGGCCGGGGATCCCCATTTAGAAAAAATTGGGGATGGGGACGGGACCGGGTATCCTATTCCCCAACCCGCTCCGTCCCCGGTTATATTATACCCATATATATAGGGATGTTATTCGGGTTGGAACCGAATCGAACCGACCCGGATCCGAATAAACCGAAAACCGAATAAGGGTAATTGTATGAACCGAAAACCGAATCAAATAAGCAATACGGGTTCGGTTCGGCTTGGGTATTATTCGGTTCGGTTCAGTTCCGACCCGAATAACCCAAATAACATGTACAAGATGATTAAGATGCCGAATAACCCAAATAACATTTAGAATGTGATTATAAATATTGTATTTTGTATGACTTTTGTAGCTTATGATTTCATAACAAATATTTTAAAGAAACAAATTAAAAGATTGAGTAGTAGATTAACACATTCAAATTTCAATGAGTAACATACATAATACCACATTGAAAGATTGAGTAGTAGATTAAGATATAAATTCTTACTTGAGTTTCTTGATTTGGAACCCAATTTTCCATGACTTGAATGAAGTTTGATCACACTAGAAACTAGAAAACAAGGATGAGGAAACGATTATTTTTTCCAGACGCAAGGGCCGACTTTTTTTTATCGTGAATGGACTTTGAAGTTTGAACTTTGAACTAGTGATGATCGATCAATGAGTCCAGGTTATTGCAAGTCGCAGGGGCAGCAGCCGCAATCGTCGATCAAAGAGTAATGTCGCAAGGATGAGAAAAACCTCAATCGATCAAAGAGTAATGCTGTCGACTCGTCGATTTGGTGCAATAACTAATACGATACTGTCGATTTGGTGTAATACGGATGATCGAATTTGATTTCGTTGATTTTTTTTGGTGTATTACGTGAGTTTTGTTGGGTAACGATCGATAGAAAAGAAGACCGAATAAGCAATCGTGTTAGGAAAAAAATGTGACTTTTCATATTCGGTTCGGTCCTTTTGGACCGAATAAGCCCTTATTCGGGTAACCCGGACCGAATAAACCGAAAACCAAATAAGCCTTATATATAGATACCCGAAAACCGAATCGAATTGCTTATTCGGGTCTAATTCGGTTCGGTTCGGGTTTTCGGGCCAAATTCTCGTCCCTACATATATACATTGATTAGTAATTTAATTACTGTTATTCGTTTAAGATTACATGTATTAGTTTATTATGGATATTAAGTATTTTAAGTAGGCCCAATTAATTGACCCAATTTCAATTTGGCAGACCACATTCCACGTATACGTACAACATAAGAAATTCATTCGTCAATATTTAGTCGCTGAGCACATGTGACGGCATTGTCTTCTTGGCGATTTATACCCACAACTCCTTTCTCAGTATCGCTTCAGGTATGTCGTTCGATTATATTAGTTTCTTACAAGTTAGTGAATAAATTCGTAGACCTACCGATAAATGCATGATTTTTTTGTTTTGTTTTTTTTTTGTATATAGACCCTACAAAATACTTAGATGTATGGGATTGTTTTTTTGTTTATACAAGACATGTTTATCTATGTTTTTTTATACTTCTCATTGTATATGTGTTTATAGAATATTTATTCAGATTGTTTTTTTTTGTTTGGGTCTCTAATAGATCTTAGTGACAACTTACAAAGTGTTACGATTTCTTGTTGTAGTTTTTTATGGCTAATTTAGAAAATGATAAACAACCCGCCATGATGATGAAAATGAAGACGATAAAGAACCAAAGCTTGTAGAAAATGATACGGCCACCGAGCATACCAAAAAAAAGTTGAAATCCATTGCGTGGAACCATTTTGATCCGATTTATGTTGATGGTGTTCGTAGATGGGCGAAGTGCAAAGGCTGCAATAAACAACTAACCGGTAGATCAAATGATCGAACAACATATTTAAAAGATCATTACAGAATATGCCCTAGGAAAAATACAAGGGACATTAGGCAACATATATTAGTTCAAGGGCAAAAAACTGCAGATGGTTTATCTTATATGAGTAAATATTCCTTTGATGCTAAAGTATCTAGAGAAGAACTAGCAAAGATGATTATAATTCATGATTATCCACTCTCCATTGTTGAACATTACGGTTTTCAAAAGTATACAGAAAGTCTTCAACCTTTATTTAAGGTGCCTTGTCGTCCTACAATCAAAGATGATATAACGAAGATATACGAGAATAAAAAATGTTATATCTTGAAATGTTTTGAAGAAAAACAATAGTAGGATTGCTCTCATGTCTGATATGTGGACTGCAAGTAACCAAAAGAAAGGTTATATGACAATCACGACACATTATATAGATGACAATTGGAAGTTACAAAATCAAATTATGAGGTATTCACTCTAATTAATGTTATTATTTATATTTTATAGAATTTTGGTTTATAGGAATATGATTTCTAAGCAAGATCTCATATAGTGAATTTGATGTTAATGCCAGATTTCAAATACTTATTAGGGATGGAAATGGGGCGGATAAGAGGCGGGTTTTACCATCCCTGTCCCCATCCCCGAGTTCGTAACCTCATCCCCATCCCCATACCCAACGAATGCGGGGAATTGAATCTCATACCCTTTAGATTTTGGGCTTATCCCCGGTCCATCCCCGACCCATCCCCAACCCATCCTCAATCTACTAACATACTAGAATCAATTAACGCAAAAAACAATTTCAAGATTAATAAAATATCAAAACCAAAGGTCATAATTAGATTGTGTTTACATCATTCATAAAGTTTAACAAGCATTAAAATGGCAATGATAAGGTTTAATAAGCATCAAAAAGAAAACAAACTTATACAAAAGAAACTTCAAGTCTTTGGTTCTCTTTGTTTCTTGTGTTTAATTTGAAAAATTACTCAACATCATCATCATATGCAACCGTCTTTGATTCGTCTTGATTTTTACCTGAAACACATAAAACTTATAGTTAGAAAAAGTAATATTTATAAGCATGTATAATATACTAATTTATATATTTATTAAAATTTTACCTTGAATTTCCTTCTGTAACCAACTTTAGCTACACATTAACGTCCCGACTGTTTTCGATTTGAGACGATTACGTTGTTTTGTCACCTTATTCCCGCTCATGCTAAATGTTGATTTTGAAGCAACGGTAGAAATTGGAATGGCTAACACATCTCTAGCAATCTTCTGTAATATAGGAAACTTGGAGCCATTACACTTCCACCACATCAATATGTCAAAACCCTCCTCATTTGGTAACAACTTCTCAGCTAAATAATCATCCAACTCAGTTTTTTTAAATCCATCATCCTCAGAAAGCATAGTCTCGAAATCTAACTCCCATGTTGATTTGCTAGAAGTAGGACCCCCTCCCTCCGAGACGTTAGTTGCACTTTGTCGTTTCCAAGAAGCTCCTCATTTGGCATCATGTTTCTTTTTATACTCTTCAAACAACTCAGTAATTATGTCACGTATTTGCATAATCTCACTTCTTGTTCCTTCCCCATATAACTTGAGAAAGAAATAATTGATCAAATTTAACTTATACCTGGGATCCAAGACAATTGCTACACTCATAACATTATGTATTACATTCCGATACTTCTCAAATTTGGTTAACATAGTTGATGCCATTGACTTAATAACTTCATTATTAGATACTTTCCAACTCAACAAAGATAGTTTCATCTCACAAATTAGAGGGAAGAAAATGTTTAATGTGGGATATTTTGTACTAGAAAATTTTTCTGTCACATGATAGAACAATTTCAACTTTTCACAAACCTCTGATGCCATATTCCATTCATCTTCACTAGGCAAGCAAACATAATGTTTCTCCTTTTTGCTCAAACGATTAAAAACTTCTCTATACTCCAAAGCAACACTTAACATCATATAAATGGAATTCCACCTTGTTTTGCAATCAAGAAGTAACTCATTTTGGCAATTAACACCTGCTTGTCTAGAAAAATGTAACGACCGAAAAATTTCAACCAATTTAAACTTTTCAAAAACAACCCGATTTCATTAAATCATTACAAAAAGGTTTTCAATACGATTAAATTAAAGTATTCCCAGAATCACATCACAACATAAACATGAGGAGCGGTACGATCACGCCTTCGTCTTGCCACGGTCTCCTGAAGAACCTGAAAAACATAAAACCACAACTGTAAGCCCGAAAACTTAGTGAGATATCCCCAAAATACCAACCACATATACCATACACACATAACATGCCATATCATATCCGATCACAGAACAACCATGCACTTCGGGTCTACTGTGTGACTGGTCCGCCGCACCGACCAACAGTCCACCTGGTCCACCCTCCGAGTCTAACCATATACATCGAGTCTGCAGTGTGATTGGTCCGCCCACACCGGGCCTTCAATCCACCTAGTCCACTCTCCGAGTCTAGCCATATACATCGAGTCTGCAGTGTGATTGGTCCGCCCGCACCGGGCCTTCAATCCACCTGCTCCACTCTCTGAGTCTACAGTGTGACTGGTCCGCCCGCACCGAGCCTTCAGTCGACCTGGTCCACTCTCCGAGCCTCGGCACGTCTGGTCCGCCCTCTTGGGGCCTACAGCCTATCCGGACCGCTCGCTAGGCCTTCGGGACAACCGGTCCGCCCTGGGTATCTTGGCCTATAGCTAGGGCTGTTCATTATTTGGTTAAAACCGAAATGTCCAATCGGACAATTTGGATTGGACTATTTGGTTCGGATATTTGGATTTTTGGATTGGTTTTAAGCTAGACCGAATTATTATTTTTGGATTTCGGATTGGTTTTGGTTTATAAAATAAGAACCGAATAGTCCAAAAAAACCGAATAACAACTTATTATTTATTTTTTAATATATATCTTTAATCATTTATAAATTTACTAAATTATTTTTTTAATTATTAGAATCTTTCAACCAAGATAGTACTTTAATATATACTTATGAAAAGTTTTTTGTCAATGAAAGATTAAACTATAGTTAATTTTTCTTAATAGTTGTTTATAAATTATAATTCATAGCTAAAAAGTTTTATTTAGTTACTTTTAAAGAGTTAGCTAATATTTAAATTATAAATTATTTAAAATGTCTTGGTTCTTAAAAACCGAATTGAAAAAACCGATCCAACCGAACTGTAATTTAGTTGGATCGGATCGGATTTGAACGTAGTTTGGACTATTCGGATCCATGTTTTGAAAACCGAAATCCATTTGGATTTACTTGATTGGATCGGATCAAACTGATCCATCCAAACGAACACCCATACCTATAGCACAAAGCAAGACCCGCCTCAACCCAACTCCAGTCCAAACATCAATGTGCACATAAACATACAATCATATAACAATTCATAGTCAACAAACTGATCAAACAGATCACACAACATATCATCATCCTAACCAGGATACCGACCTAACCGGTCATTAGCATATACCATCCTAGCTACCAGGATGCAACATATCAAAGCAATATCATAACAACAAATACCCGGATCTCAATCCGATAAAGGGTCGGCCTTAGTGCCTTAGACCCTGTTGATATAGTGAGGATAACTCACCTCGAAATTGCCGACTGAACAGATAAACCCAAGCTACTCCAACCATTGATACGATCTCCAACACTGGCCAACACCAAGACACTGAACTCAAAACAATATTCAACAATTACCAAAATGCCCCTGGAAAATAACTGGTCAACTGTTGGCCAAAGTCAACCCCTGACTGACTCTACTCGCCGAGTCATCCCAATGACTCGCCGAGTCTACACACATAGAATCTCCCCCATCCGCGACTTAACTCGCCGAGTCACCCCAAGACTCGTCGAGTCCAGCAACTCTGAGTCCTTTCTTACTCGACTCATCGAGTCATCCCTTGACTCACCGAGTCATCCCTTAACTCACCGAGTCACAGCTCAACCAGAAGAAACTTGGACCTCACGACCAGACTTGTCGAGTCCAAGAACAGACTCGTCGAGTCTAAGGCTATCTTCAACCTACTTGCCGAGTTCCAGACCATCTTCAAGCAACTCGCCGAGTACACCTTTGTGACTCGCCGAGTGCCTCTAGATCTCATCCCAAACAGAACCTTCTAGGCCATGCAATTGATCCAAAACGTAGATCTAGCCTCCTACAACCCATCCCTCACGTAAAGTGGCAAACTTTACGTGAATCCAAAGAGATATAGGCATTTTACACTTTAGGGATAGGGTTTGAGACATGATGGCTTCACTAATCACTCAAGAACAGGGACTTTAATGCACTTTAGACCTCCTCCACTCCAGATCTGAGGTAGCAACCTCAGATCTACTCTTCAAACTCAAGATACCACAAGCTAAACCTCCCATACATTCCAAGAATAATGAATCTAGAAGAATAACAGCCCAAGAATGAGATAATACCTCAAAAGGAAGCCCCAACAACAATGAAATCCGAATCTAAGCAAAGCCCCTTGCTCCAAGCCTCCTAACTCTCCAAAATCTTCCTCCAATTCTCTTCTCCAAGGCTCAATTGCACTCAAAACCTTCACAATCGCGTTTCTAGGGTTTTCTGGACTTCAAGGGAAGGTAAGGACGCTGGGGAGAGGATATAATGTCCTTTATATAGGGCTCATCCTCCGAAATTAGGGTTTTCTCCACTCAGCGCCAACTCGCCGAGTCCAGTCGCCGACTCGCCGAGTCGGCCACTTAACACGCGACCAAAATCGCGACCCTACTCGCCGAGTCCACTCGTGGACTCGCCGAGTTGCCCTTTCCAATTTACTCTTTTAGCCCTTCAACTTTACTCTTGATATTCCGGGATGTTACAAAAAAAGTCTAAAATCTTGTATTCTTTTAGGAGAACTTGTCCAAAATGAGATACTATTCCTAACATTCTCAATTGCACTCCCAATCACAGAAAATCCATCTTGCACAATAAAATTAATTATGTGTGTACAACATCACATATGAAATAATCTCCCCTTCAAAATTAGTGATGAAGTAGTAAGCGTACCTAAAAGCTTTTCAACGATGACATCATTTGTTGAACAATTGTCAGGTGTTAATGCTGACAACTTGTTGTCAATGTTCCTCTCCAAAAAGCATCTCATCATACCTTCTGACAATGCATCAACAGTGTGTGGAGATGACACATGTTGAAAGTTGGATTAAACAAAATATAACACTTCAAAACTTCATCTAACATTTTATATAATATAAATAAAAAATAAAATTAGAAGGGTTTGTGCTTTGATTAAAAGTGGAAAACACATATAAAGCTAGTTGAGCAAGATCCTTTTGTCTTTTTTGTTTTAATAAATTATTAAAAGCTATGTTAAGGGATTAACTTCTACAACATGATGTCACTTGTTTTTTCTTACATAAATCGTTATATTATAAAAATTATTGAAAATTTAATTGGTATTTTGGACTTTTTTACATAATAATCTAACAAAAAAAACATCACAAAAATTCATTAAAATAACATTCACAATCATTACTACCATAAGTAGTTTCGGCCGATGTGAGATAATAACAACGGAGAATGCAACATCAGTGGGAAGTGAATCGTTGAGAATGCAGGAGTGGTGAGTGGTAGTTGGAATGCAAGTGGCTGTCGTAATGTCCGACCATGGTGGTTGTGATAACGGCGACGACAACATGGAGCTTTTTAGAGGGAAAGATGAACGGATGTGGAGGAGGAGGGTGTAGGGATTAGTAAGTTCCAAGAAGCATTCAGAAGGTCCTTATGGTTTGGAAACAAGCGAAAAGGACGAAAATGCCCCCTCTCAAACGAAGATAACTTAACGACATTAAACCGAGGGACCATCTGTGTCGGATTTGGAAACGTTAGCGACCAATGGTGTTACCCTAATGAAAGATATCATTAAGTCGCTACTTTTTGTAAAGCACAGGGTCCATTTTTGAACTTTTGTCGATAATTAATATTTTAATTTTCTACCATAATTAAATATAACAAAGATTACTATTACACCCTTAAATAAATAAATAATTAATTGATTATTTTTAAATTTTAATTAGTTCACAATCAACCCTACATCTAGGCAGTTAGAATACATAAACTTATCTCTCTCTCTCTCTCTCTCTCTCTCTCTCTCTCTATATATATATATATATATATATATATATATATATATATATATATATACTAGGTTATAACACGTGTATCACACGGGTGACAAGTTAAAATAACATAAAAACTTTAAAAATCGTAATTAATAATCATAAATGTATAAAAAGTTATTGGCTCACACTGAGCATTAAGAAGTCTAACAATTGAGTGAACCGAACATAAACTCATCATATATCTTGTTCTGTATAAATGAAAGAATAACTTTTTGAATGTTTAGAAAATAAAAAAGAAATTCAACAGACAATTAAACATTTTTACCTAAGAATATGAGTTGAGTAAAATACTAAAATTTAACACATTGAATTTTAAAAAAAGAAAAAACATTGACATTTTCATGACAAAGGAATAATAATATTTACCTTTCAGACTTCGAAGAATTGTAAAATGATTGAAAATATAATTTTGTAACAAAACAACTTTGAATAAACTATAAAGCACGATCAGCAAGTTAAATGCATAAAAGAGCAACCTACATTTTTTTGCTTTACCTTTTCCACTTTATAGCAACATACTTTAAAGCACAAAAAAAATTAAGTGCATAAAATAGCAACCTACTTTTAACAAACAACCCCTAATATGGTTTGATTAAATAGAAACCTAATTTTAAAAGAAACAACCCATCAACCAATATGATATTAATTTTTAAAAAATAAATAACCCCTCATTTTATTGCAACCTAATTTTAAAAATAACCGACTGTCAACCAATTTTATTGTTTGTAAATCGACATTTTATGATGGAACCAAGTAATAACCATAAAATTTTGGTAGACATGACAACAACCACAACCGTACACAAAATACCCTAATGTTGTACTAACAATCCAAAACATAAGGTAATCAAAATACATTATTTTTCATTTTAAGTGGGTAGAATTAAGAAAAAGAAAAAAATAGTAAGAATGACCAAAAAGATTATTTTGACTAAAAAATTTTACTTTTCTGCTTTAAGTGTTTCGTAACCGTGTACGGAATATTTTTTTCATTTTTAAGTGGTCCAAATAACCAAAAAGAACAAAATAAACAAATTGACCAAAAAGGTTAAAATTGTCATTTCTAAAAAAAGTATACTTATTGCTTTAAGAGTTTCATATCATTATAACGTTCTTTATTCAGTTTTAATTCATCGAGAAATGATTAAAATAAATAAAAATGGTGAAAAAACCAAATTGACCAAAAACATAAAAATGATCATTTTCACCGAAAAACTTCTACTTTTTGTTATCAATTTTTCATATAATTACAAAGTACTTTTGTGTTTCGTAATAAGTGCTACAAATGACCAAAACATTAGAACCTTTAATTAGAAATGTACTTTGTATAATAATAAGTATGATGCTAAATTGGACATAAATATGAAAGTAAATTGATATTTAGTGGATTTAGCTGAATCATGGGCTAAATGTACTAAATAGCAACATACTTTCATTTTTATGTCTAATATAACATTATACTTTTTATTATATAAATACATTGCTAAATAAAAGTTAATTGTCCCTGTGTAAAAATTATAGGAATAGTCCTTCTGCTAAACAAAATAGTTGTACGAATGGTCCCTAATTTAATAAATGTACAAAAATGGTCCTTATATAAAAAAATAATGCATAACTGGTCCGTGTTTAACAAAATTATCATAAATGGTTTGTGCTTAAAAAAACGCATAATTTGTCTAAATGGCCTAATTGACCAAATTAAACCAAATATGCGGTTGAAATGACGAAAAATGTAAAAAAAATGGTCAAATGACCAAATTAGAAATGAATCTTTTAAAGGAAAAAAGACGGGGAGCTTCTGGTATAATTTTTGATGCACGAGGCCTCTTCAAATTGTGTATGTTTTTGTAAATACATGTATAATGTTAATATTTTTAGTAAGGCTGATAGCAACCATTTACTGATATTAGGAAAATAACAAACAACAAAGGGTAAAATAGTCTTTTTTGTCAATCAAATGGGAGAAAGTGCAGCAGTTTGTTGAATGAGTAATATAACACCTAGCTAGCTAATCTTTTTGTAATTATGTAAAACTTGGAGAATGAATTGATAGAAATCTCTTATATCAACAAAAGAATAAGTCTGTTATTAATATTCAATTAATAAATTATAATGGTGGAAGATAATGTTAGATTGTTGGCTAAGTAAGTGATTATAAGTTACTTTCATAATAATTTTCTTAATAACTATTAATGTACTGGACAAATATTAGAAAACATTTTTTGGTTTCATGTCTACCAAACTATTATGGGAGTATATATTAAAAATACATATATTGTAAAAACATGCCTTAAACAAAGAGACAATCATGTTATTATTTAGCTTTATAAAGTAATAATAGATCAAATGTATAGTCCATGTTTGAATAAATGAACAGAATTGTCCCTGTATAAAAACATATGCTTAGTTAATTAAAGTGCATTTTGGTCTTTTTTTTAAGGATTGGAATGTGATAATAAGGGATTGAGAGTTCGGTTAATCTATACTATTTTAAAGATTGGCATGAAGGTATAAAAGAGGGGCATACTTGGTATAATAAATTTGAAAAGTTGGGAATTTTGGTTAAGCTTTTCGAGGAATGGAATGTGATAATAAGGGACTCGATCAGAAACTGTTTGACTGTATTAAGCAATAACATATATGCTCTGATTTATCAATAAATGATATAAAAATCTTGGATTTTGGACGCTTCAAATTACATGCTGCACCAATCAACTGTTGATACACCTGTAATATTCAAGATCCAACCAAGAAAAGTCCAAAATCGTTTATTGGCTATAAATTTAATGCATAAAAAAATCAAATAATTATTATACCTGGATATTTTCCTTGAATATTAGACATAAAATAAATAGTTGCTTCATGATCTAGAATGTATAATATTTTGCCCCTGTTAGTGTATCCCATAACGGTAGAAAGCTTCATCTTATATGAAGTAGAAGGAATAAAACCTTTAATTGCATCTTCAATTGGTAACTCTTTCTATATCGTTATGGGGTTATCAGATACATAAGCTACAACTGAAGCTTCTAAAAACTTCTGTTGACCAGAACCTATAATGTGTATAATGTAAAATTGTAATAAGTAAAGAACAATAGGTGACAACTCGATGAGATGACCATTTGAAGCACTTCATAGGCGGCATAAAAATTAATTAGAAGTTACAACCAAAACCAAATACTAAAAACAAAAAATTTTAGTTCAAATAGATCCAATTAGAACATTTTGGTCATCTACAAAAAAACAGCAGTTTCGCCCAAAATCTACCAAGAAACCCTATACTTAAAACAAATTCACTTCCCTTTTGCTGCATTCTCCTAGTTTTGATTGACCATATATTAGTTGAATTCATACAAAAATGAAGATCATTAGAATCAAATGGTAAATGATAACTTAATTGCACGACCCTTGACTAATATTTTTTGCTTCTAGTACAGCCAAAAATCAAACGTACAACAATCAATCATACAACAACAGTAAGTAAAAGAATGTTCATGAAATGTTCAACAACTCTACCAAGGATTTTCAGTAATTCACTAAACGTCATGAAAAGGGAATTGAACACCATACATATACACAAACCTGGTTACTAAAATAGAGATATTTCAAGAGAAAGAACCCTGTTAGAAATTTTTTATAAAGAGAGATAGAGACCCGATGGTGAAACCATGGTCTAGAACCGGATCCAAGAAAAAATCCATGTAAGAAGAAAAAAACGATGACAAAAGGGGTTCATGATGAGAAGGTATCGGCAGTTTGTGTTGGTGAGCGTTACCTCTAAGCTAAATAAAAAAAAATCAACATATTAGTCACACTTGGTAAAGAAGATCTGAAACCTCGAACCCTAAACGATATGATTTTACCTCTCTTTACAGAAGATCTGTTAATTTATAGAGGAAATAGAACATATTTTTTTTCTTTCAAAAATCGTCCTCTGTTGATATTACGAATGAAAAGTTAACAGGTATCAATGGATATAAGAAAGAATCAAAATCTGTATAGGATTAGAGAGAGAGAGAGAGAGAAGAGAGAGAAGAGATGAAAGTGTTATCAAAATTTGAATTTCAATGTCAGATACATTTCAAAGAAACAATGAGGATGAAGCAAGGTTTGTAGATGGTAACTTAGGGCCATTGACCATGAAGCATACCTGAATCGAGGTTACGGTGAATGTGAAGGGGAGGGAAGGGCTAGCCACAGGCAACTGGTTTGCCTCGAATGTTGAGATGGAGATGGAGAAAAAGTAGGTTCTATAGGATTTTGAAGTTAAATTGTAGAGCGATTCAATTGATCGAAATTTGGGCAAGATTTGATTGAAGATTCTGAAGATGTATTCCTGATTTTTTGGATCGAAGAAACACCCGATTGAGGAGGAAAATCCATAAGCGGGAAAAAAAAAATTAGAAAGTCTCATAAAATGCCACGTGTCGCAGGAATGGTTTATAAAAATGACACGTGGCCTTAAAGAGGTTTTTATTATATATTGTTGTGAAACCCGTATATTATACAGGTTGATTAAAACAAAATGTTAAGTTCGAACTAAATAGAAATTTTATTTGAATTTGAAATTGAAATAAGTGAAAATTATGAGAAAAAAACATGCAAAAAATAAACTAATTAAAATTATGTGTTAAGTGTACTAAACGAGTTAATTATAACAAAATGTTAAACATAAAGGTTTAAATTGTAAATTTATTTGAAATTGAATTTAAAATTTAAAATTTAAAATTTAAAATTAATAGTCATTATGGTAGGTTTAATTTATAGAAACTAAATTAATAATAAATTGAAACAATGACAAGTGGAAAATAAATATATATCTCAAAATTATGACAAAATTACATGTGGCTAATTTTATGAGAGAATGACATGTGGCAAAGTCATTTTCATTTATTATGGTATATATATATATATATATATATATATATATATATATATATATATATATATATATATATATATATATATATATATATATATATATATATATTAAAAGACATGTCACTTAGTAACTTTAAGATGATTCATAATTTAGCCACTTTCAAGAGTTTGTCATTTTTATTCCCTTAACATTTATATATAAATGTGACTAGCCTTTGTTCAAAAGTTTGCTATTTTTGGTCCCTTGAATTTACCAAATATGACCCCTCAAGTTTTTGTCATATTACTTTGTGGAGTTGACACTTTTGGTAGCCCGTCTTCAATATTCTCATTAAAAAAAAAAAAAAAAAAAAAAAAAAAAAAAAAAAAAAAAACGAAACACATAAACATAAAAAATATATATATTCTAAACGCCACAAAGTACGGATAACCTTCTAGTTTTACTAAAAGACATCTTTAAGGGACTCACATCTTATTTTAATAAAAATACATCTTTAAGACCGATGAGAGTCGTCGTGGTATATGCAACATTGTATGTCATGGTGGCTATGACAAACACCGGTCCACAGTGGCGGACCTTAGTGGGGCATTTGGGGTCCCGGGCCACTGCTCAATTTCCGGCACGCAGTGTAATTTTTTATTTTTTATAATATTTTTTCTATTAGGTGCACCCGCTTGAAGTACGAGGAACACCCCTACTAAAACAGTCTACGTTCGCCACTGCCGGTCCTTATGTACGGGTAGTGTTGCTCTCTCTCTCTCTCTCTCTCTCTCTCTCTCTCTCTCTCTCTCTCTCTCTCTCTCTCTCTCTCTCTCTCTCTCTCTCTCTCTCTCTCCACGGTAATTATAAGTTGGATACCATTTTGAATGAGGCGGACTCTAATACCATCCTAATCAAAACTAATTATTCTTGATAAAAAGTAATCATAAAAATATTAATTAAATAATACCTAATATAAATTTTTAAATTTAACATTTATTTAAAAAAAATTACTTTAATTTTAAGTTAAAAGTATTAATTAATACATGTTTCCCTTTATATTATTTAATAATTATAAATAGATATACTTTGTCTTTAACCTATAGATTTTTTTGGATATTTGGTTGCATAATAATATTTTTATTTTTATTTATGTCTCTTGTGTTGGTAAACATAATTATTAACTAGATAGGAAACTCCGTTTCGCGGGGGTTGGATTCGCCACTAAAGTCAAAAAAACCGACAGGATGCTTAGTATATTGTTGGTGATTTGATGACCATTGCTGATATTGGTATCGAAATGTAAGTATGTTGCTATTATGGGTGACAAAGATAGTTAAAAAAAATTGAATTTTAATCAATTGTATAAGAATTAAAAGTCTAATCCTAAGTTACAAAAGCAATAATACAATCGGTGATCCTGAAACGACCAATTTACCTCTATTTCCTCCCTGCCATCATCACCTCCCATCCTAGTTACAAAAAACCCTTCCTATCCTCAAATGACTAATTTACCCCTATATCCTTTCCTGCCATCATCACTTCCCCTCCTAGTTATTGAAATGACCAAGTTCTCTCCCTACAACTCCATGTTAAAGTAAGACAACCATCTGCCCATAGTACCTGTCAAAAATCTTATACACCTTATCAAAGAAAAAAAAAACTAAAGTACGTTGCCAATATCAATAAACCAAAATACGTTAATTTCATCCGCCTTTGTACAATGGTTTTCGCTTCTCAGAAAATGCATTCAACCCTTCTAACCTATCACCTGTGACCAATATCTCTTCATAGCATTCGTCTTCCAATTCCAAATCAGACCTGGTCTCCATTTCTGAACCATGGCTAATCACTCTTTTAGCCATCCGTATAGCCACAGGACCCTAAAACTGTAGTTGGATTTTATGAAGAATTGAAGTTTATTAATGTAATAAAAATGTGCATGGCCAATATGGTCCTAAAAACTACTTTCTCAACTGAAATTAAAAAATTTTAAGCTATCATTTAACCAATTTTAAATAACCAAATTTAAAACTACAAAGTTTTAGAGTAAAATTACTTAAATACAATTATTAATTCCTTATATAAGAACTCTACAAATAAAAATCAATCTTATTTCTTTTATCTGAATATATTTGCTGAAAAATATTTCAATATCTCTCAAATGTACAACTGATGAGAGATTGACTCATAGTCTCATTGCAAATTGTTGTAATGATGGAGCGTTAAATTCATAGACATAAGGGTAAAATGGTCATCCCCTCAACTTTGGAAAATTTGAAAAAGAAAGACTTTATTCATGTATGTGAAAACATTTATGTTATTGATAAAAAGTAAAATATATTGCTCATTTGGTAGCAATAGTAAAGCATGTTGGTATTCTCCAACAAAAAATTAAAATTAAATATAGTATAAAGTCACATTAACTTACCAGAGGCTCCCTCTTTGGCGCGTGAATGAAACATTCCATGCCCTGGGATAAATAGATGCAGTTAACCTCGAGGGACGCAATATTGCCACATGTGATCCTGGCTGACACCCCACGGAATCATCATCACGGAAACAAAAATGGCGTTTTCGCTCCTCCTCTTCCTTAAGCAAACAGTTTTGCATGATTTTTTTTGGAATGATTAAGATGCTAAAAACCAAAATTATTAATGGAAATTAGTGCACTTACGGGATCCTGGAATATACAACGATTGTAAACCCTTCATAACTAACTATGTTTGTTCTTTTTGAAGTTCAAATATCTTTCTTCCTTCTTCATAGCTACTACCAAATGTTGTACATCCACTGCACATGATCTTTCTTTTGTTAATACTTCCCATTTGTTGATCATATTACTGCAACTAATGTAAAAGGCCGGTACCATATGCTACAAAAAGGAGCATTAATGGAATCAGTGGTTTATTAATTTTAGTTACATATTGACACTTTTGCTCTGGTAATCCATAAAGAAGATGAACCTTAAGCTTTTCCACATGGAATGCATGATTCATAATCTTTCTATGTTTTGCCCATTGATCAGCTTCAACATCTGCCAGCCCACTTAGTAGCAACTCTGTCAACGAATTTCCTACATCTAGTTTTTGAAATTGAGAATAATTTGCCAAAATCAGTCGTATTAGTGCAGGTTCTGTTACGTGCACAAAAGGTCATGGGCCCATCCATGTATATAAATTCTTTCCTTTACCTTTACCTGAATACAAATATCCAAAGGACTTAATATAGATTGTTTGAAAGATCAGATTACGCATTCTTGAACAAAACTAATATAGATCGTAGCCTTTATATTCGGGATCTTACTGTTTGAGTTTCAGGTCAAACGAACAGCCTTTTTAACTATGCCTATATGATGCTTTTCACTTTGCATATAATATGTGTATTCTAAACTCATATGGAAAATTTAAATGCAAAGGTACCACATAAAATCTATAGTTATGCTGATTGTACTTTGGTCTTTGAGATAACATCATGTATGTGACACATAGATATGATCAGCATATAAAATTTGGAAAGACATGCTAATGGATTTCATTGGTCAAGATTTACTATTCTGCAAACTAATTATAAAATCTGAACATTTTTAAAACTTCTATAAACATGAATGGAATTTTTGACAAAAAAAAAATAATTTTTTGTTAAAAACGTTTGTAAAAAATTTTCTTTGAAAAACTCAACAAAATAAGATCTACTATCACTGCTCGTGTGTATACATTACATACCATACGTCTTAGCAGAGTTATAAAGATATGGCATGACACGTGGGACGATGTCGTTGGTGAGATTTATGGGATTCAATTTGGCATCATCAGTCATCTGCACAACCAAAGGCCATTCAGTTCAACCCAAAACCTAACTTAGTTCAAAATTGAGAAGAAAATCTAAAATGGATAAATTTGCTTAATGTATAAGAAACAATAGCACAACAATGTATATAGAGGCAAAACTCAGGAAGTAGATATAAAATTTATTAGATATTTGAATCACCTTCATGGAACATATGCAACTTCACGTATTATTGATTTAGCGCCTGTTAGAGAGCTCGCCTATGAACAAACAAACTTGGGGAAATAATCTAATCTAATATACCTAATTAAAATTGGTAAGAAACTCACGTAATCAGTAGGAGTCGTTGTTTACTTTCCTTTCATCCTCATCGGGTCTGTATCCAGCATCGTACTACACAGTAAAGAGGGCAGGTCAATAACCAATTAAGTGATTAACCCAAAAATTGAAATCGACAAAGCATGGAATCATAAAATTTGAGTGCTCAACTCTACCTGAATCCCGAAACGTTCAATTTGTGAAGTTTGGATTGATAAGGGAGACGTCTGGAACCTAAAATCGATCTATGAACGCAAAAGAAACATAAACTGATTTCAGACCCATCGATTAGAAATTTAGGACCAAATTAATTCAGAAAGTGAAAGAGTAATCACATGGAGAAATTTATTAGCCCTAATAGTAAAATGGAACGAAACATGGATTATTAGACTGTAAGATTTGAAGCAGAAGTTCGGAAGTAGGGATTTTGGACTTTAATCAATCCAAAATTAAACCTGATGTGATGATGGTCGTGGGTTGCGAAGCGACACTGGTGGATTTTGAAGCAATACATATATGTGTGTCTGAGTGTTTCAGTTGTCGTCTAAGTCAAGGAGCCACCCAACTCTCCGCCTTGCTCACCTACCTGTCGCACAAGAAACACACGTAAGCGATGGCGGAGTGATACATCGCATCGTCAAACGACTCCGTTTGTCGGTCTTCCTCTGCACCTAAGTCGATGTCGGTACAGAAAAGCGAAGCAATTGGAGGTAGGGATGGGTTCGTCTGATGTTGAAGATCGATGAATCGGTTGGGGTAAAATCGAAGAGGCAAAAATCAGACCTCACACCGGCGATTAAGAAGGGATAAAATGAAGAAGCAGAAGGTAGAGGATGCTGGAGCTAATGGCGGTGACACCACCGAACCCGACAACCACGCCAATCATGAACCTGCACCATCAATTTAGAGTAGAAACATCAACATGCATCTAGGGCTCATGAAAAGATAGTGGAAAATTCTCACCTGCAATTAGAAGAGGAAACGGAGAAGGAAGAAAAGGAACGTAACGATAGATCGAAACAGAGCAAGAAAAGCAAATTCGTCGAAATAAAGATTAAAAAAAATGCCAGCAATCGAAAAGTGATTGGGTGGAAAAGCGGTGAAGAGAACAGGCGAAAAACACAGTAGCATCAAAAATCGTTCAAATGGCATAAACTGAACAAATGGCAAAAGAAACCATGCCCCCATAAAAGAAGGACTTTTTCTGCCAAAAAGACAGTTATTTTACTGTAGTTAACACGAGAGAATTTTAATATATATATATATATATATATATATATATATATATATATATATATATATATATATATATATATATATATATATATATTAACGTTTTATTATGTCTTTTAATATATAAAAATAGTAATTATTAGTTTTTTAAATAACTAATATTTCCACTTTACAAACTCTTCCATAGACAAACATACACCGTTAAAGCTATTTTATTTGGTAAACATAAATAGTTTTTAAGATTTCTTAATGATCAAATAAACATGTTATTTAATTATTAACTAACTAGGTGTAAGATTCATGTTTACATGAGTTTATTTAAAAGAAAAACTAAATATGAAAAATTAAATATTTAAGAAGTTTAAATTTATAAGAAAATTAATAAAAATATTGAATTATTAAAATTAAAGTATTTTTCTGTTTTAAATTTGAATAAATAATTTAGATAAATTAACAAATGAAATTAATGAAGCTTTAATTTATGAATTTTGAAATTAGAAGGAAAGTTCATCAATGAAATTGATATGGATTTATTATTACATTTATTGGAATTATTACATTTAAATATTATATGAAATTTAATAAAATTGAAAAAAAAAATCATAAAATGACATGTGGAATAAAAACTAATTCAAAATAACCACAAAATGAATAAATGACATGTGGCAAAATGAATGAAAATATAACATGTATCAAAAAAATCTTTATTTATCATGGTAGATATTCATGATATATGCGTCCTTCAATTACCTATCACCTATATCGTATATACGTCCTTCGATTACTTAGTATAAAACATTAATTTTAGTAATTTTCTATAAATATGACAATATGATAATTTTCGGTATGTTTCTATAGTTGATTACATTAAATAAAATATAAAACAGTTTTCTTTATTAGAAAAGAATATTGTTTTGTTAACAGTAAATAAACCAAAAACAATAAATATAAATAAATAAATGAATGAAAGAGGGTCGATTATGTGGAAGAAAGATAGGAGTGCAAAATATACAAGTGGAAAGTGGCAGTTAAAATAAATAAATAAACAAAAACAATAATAAATAATAGTACGGTTTATAAACATAAAATAGATAATGATTTAAGTACAGAAGATCATCATCTAGTTTCTATAGAAACATCATCTATGCGGAAACGAAAGATTATTATTAGATGAAACAAAATTTAGTACCAAACATGTATTTTAAACAAGATAAAGGGGTCTAATGTGTAATTTTTCAATCTTTTGATAGTTTTGGTATCCGGTCCCATAATATAATACGGTTATAATTAGATAAAATTCAAGTATGGTCATGTCTGGGCAAAAAGAGTTTGGACTAACACCGATGGTCTAAAAGTTTCATTTTTTCGCGAGTTTGGTCCATTTTAGTTTGAACTTTTTTTTAAAGACGATTTTGCTCTTATTATTTAATTTTCCGTTTTTGTTTTTATTACGAGCATTTATAAAAACTAAAAATTAAACAAAAATACTCTCTCTCTCTCTCTCATGAGATAAACATGCCCCAAACACCCTCTGAAATTGGTGTGCTTATCTGTTCCTTCCTTCCTATTCTTCTTCTTCGGTTTGCCGACAGCCAAGAGGACAACAGCCCTCTCTCGTTTTCCTTCATTCTCCTCGATTTCCTAGTAAGCCAAACACCCCACCTGATGTTGTATTGCTTTCGTTCCTCCCTCTCTTGCGTGCTTTACTACCGGATCATAAAAGAAACAACCAAGAGGCTGCCGGAGCAGCCCCTCACTGCCTTAACTGACGTCGACAATAATTTGTTGCCTTCGTCTTCCTTTTCCGCGATCAGTCAAGAATTCGAAACCTTTCCCTCAGTTTACTGTCGGTGACGAAGTCAAGAAGGGTAACGAAGATCGTCGGTCTCGACAGCTGGTTCCTCTCTTGACGGTTCTGCCACCACCAAACCACACTCCACCACCAATGTTTCTGTCATTCTCCTTCTTCGAATCGGTCAAGCACTGGAGGTGCTTCCCAATGCTTGACCGATTTTTGATTCTGTTGTTCCTTCCCGCTCAGACGAGAACCAACGTCCTAACCCTTCTTTTATTTATTTTTTTGACCAAAACCAACCCTCTGATGTGTTAATATGACAAAACCATATCCACAATCTATTTTTAGAGAGGGAGAGTGTGATCGAATCAAGAGGCGTTTTTCCCTCTTTCTCCTTCTGGTTCTCAAGTTGCAGGTGGATATGTGATGGAGAAATGAAGACTAGGGGTGTAACACTGAAAATTTTAAAATTTATTTTTCACAATTTATAAAAGCATTTCTCTCTTAATTTCATAAAACATCAAATTTCAAATTCCAATATGTATCATACAAATCCCAAGATCACATAATTATATCGAATTCCTCTACGTGTGTACAGATCAAGCCGGCGCCTTCCCACGGTCATCGCTAGTACCTGAAACAACAACACTAACACTGTAAGCACAAAGCTTAGTGAGTTCCCCAAAATACCACACATAAAACACATATTAGCCACTCGAGGCCATAACTCTATGGGTCCGTGCACCCAACTCTGTGAACCCTCAGGTTCTAACTCTGGGAACCTTCCGGTTCCAACTCTATAAGCATGCACAACATAAATCACATAGACATCATGCAGTACAGCACATAGCATACACATAACATACACATACTCTATCACATGACTCTGATTACCTACTCAAGGTAAAGTATAGTGAGAAGACTCACCTCGCGTGTCTCGGTATCTCACGATCCCTGGAAATCCCTCGTACTCGATCCTCCGAGCTCTAATCCTCCTATAACATCACAAGACTCTAATTAACACTTTTATCTCTAAGGTTGACTATCCCTAAGAAGTCAACACAGGTCAACGGTCAACTTTGACCGGACTCGGCGAGTGCACGCGGCAACTCGGCGAGTCTAGACGTTCTCACCAACTCTCTAGGATTCCCTTTCTACACGTCGAGTACTCCCCCTGACTCGACGAGTTCCACCTGGAAGAATCGCGGGACCACCCCGACTCAACTCGGCGAGTCTCAAGAACGACTCGGCGAGTCCCAGCTCGACTCAGACCACATGACAATCCTCTCTAACTCGCCCTGACTCACTGGGTCAACTCCTGACTCGTCTGGACCACTCTCTGGCCGGTCCAAGGCAATCTTCAAGCTACTCGCCGAGTCTGCTCATCGGACTCGGCGAGTCCATTCCATGCAATCACTCAAACTTGCTTCTAAGGTCAGATCTACTCCAACAATTCATAGATCTGGCCCTCCTAGACTGATTCATCACGTAAAGTCCTAGTCTTGATGCATTAACAACCTCTATATGACTAATTATGAAGAATCTTCAACAAATCTCACTACACAAGGTCATGACCTCCATTGTTCTCTATAAAGCTTGAAGAATGAGACTCTCTGGACCTCTATGGATCCAGATCCGAAGTCTCATCACTAGCATGGGACTATTTGGCCATCAAATCAACTCAACAAGGCCACAAGAAACCCTAAAATCGGTTATATTTCACAAAACAGGAGATGAGTCGAAATTATACCTTTAGATTGAAGGGTCAAGCTTCCAATCCACCAAATAGCAGTCCCCTTTGCCTCCTCTTGGCTAGAGCCTCCTTCTTCTTTGCTAAACAACACACAAATGTCAAGAAATG